GTATCTCATACTGCAACGCAACAATCCAATTCTTTTGTTCAATGTAATTTGAGATCTTATCCTGTTTTCCAGTGGTGCTGAAAGGTCTGCTGAACATGTGCGTTTCAAAAGCGATAACGCAAAACAATGTGGAGAAATTATTTGTGCAAGTCATAAGCGCGTGTTTCTTGCTGCTATGACTGCGTGCCAGTCAGCCCCCAGAATGATCTAATATAGAAGTTGGACCCTGAATTTGTGGCGTTTCTCAACCCTATATTTAACAGCAACAGAGCCAAGACCCCAGACCACAGTTTCCACCCACTCCATCTTTTTTTTTTTTTTTCTTTTGCATCTACCAGAAATCCCTACTTTTATCTCCAGCTATTCATCTGGGACACATATGGGGACCATTCTGGGAAAAATGAGAAAGGAACAGGCTGTGGACTCCTGTATGTCTTCCTGTGACACAACATTTTTATCTATAGACAGAAAGTAGAAGTGACAAGATATTAAAAAAATAAATAAATAAAGCCAGAAAAGCATTTTTTTTTAAATGACCAACCAACAGAATAAAACATGAAGCTGATCACTCTCAACTATAGGTCCTTTGGTTTTCAGGTTAAGATTAATGATGATTGACACTGTAAAAATATTCTTCTTTTTACAGCAATACTTTTTATTTTTAATTCATATTTATAAAGACAATTTAAATGTTTACATGTAAATATTGAAATGATTTGTGAACATATTCAGACCCACCTTTATGAAATGGAAACTTGTCGGGGTGGAGGGGCCGGGGCACAAGTGTCAATTCCTAACCCACAACTTAAAACAAACTTTCACTGCAATTACAACAGTCTAAGCGTAAACAAGTAAGGAGATTGTTAACATTTATAAGCCAATTGTCTCAGATTTTTAGTGCAAAAAAAGAAAAGAAAAAAAGAAAAACGTATTTCAATTTCCTTCCACTTCAAAAATATGCAGTACTCTGTGCTGGTCTGTTTCAATAAATTAAATGGAAGAGCAATGTGACAAAGCTTGAAAAAAGAAGACAAAAAGAAATCAAGGAGTACACGTTTGCAAGGTGCTGTATTCCAACCTAATGCTCTAAAGTCATGCACTTTGTGATTAAAAAAAAAGCACACGGTTACCAATCATTCCTCCCTATCAATTTATGTTACTTGCTTGTCACTGCTTACAATAGGGCTTAGGTAAAACCACTTAAGCCAAAATAGCTACAAGATGCATGGCTTGCTGAATAGCCTGTCTATGGTATGTGGATGGATGAGTCATTGTTGGGAGAGAAGGAATCACTTCTGTGGCATTTTTAAAAGATAATAGCTCAAACTGCTGCACCATCGTGAGATGTGTCATGCTTCGGAAGTGCACACATAAACTGATGATGGCCAAGTTTGTGTTGGCTGTTTCAGCAACAAGCACTGCAATGTGGGTTTCTGCAATCTGAAATTGGTTGTTGTCTCTCATAGTTTGAGGTCAACCCAAGGCATACAGCAGCAGACACGTTCATGAGCAATAAACACATTTTTCTTCACCTCTCTGCTTGCTTTTCTGTCCCTTTCTTCTCTTCAACCACATGTACAGTATGGTATCTTTATACACATAATTTACTTTCCTAAGACTGATGCAACTTCATCTGTAAACCCAAGGATTCAATCACAGGGAACTAAAAGAGGCGTGTGAAAAGAAGAAGAATAGGACCATAAAGTGTGTATTCGTGAAATGTGTGGAACCATCACAGCCCCTTTTGATTTACATACTGATTGAAGAGTGGCCCACTACACTTAATGAGCTTGTTTCAATTTGCACACTGACATACAAGATTACTCTTAAGTAAAATTTCCATTTCATTAAAGCTGAGTGAGTTTGAGTATGTTCGTCACTTTTGGCTTGACTGAGTACAAGCTGAAATTATTTTTCAACAGCTCTAAAACAGTAAAGCCCAAATTTTGATGAGGTTATGCAAAACATTTTTTTAAGCAAGTGGCGTCTTTAAATTTCAGCTTCATTTTGGTCTTATAAATGTGTTGTTCAGTTTTTTTTTTTTTTTTTTTCTTTTTTAATATTCTGGGGCCTAGATGAGCCAATTGCTCCATGGGCGTGGGTCTTTGCAAAAGCCTGGGGGTTCTGTGGGTTTGGGCAGTAACTGTGGGTTTTGTGTGTAAGTGTGTGTGTGTGTGTGTGTGTGTGTGTGTGTGTGTGTGTGTGTGTGTGCTCCCAATCTGAAGCAGCATCTAAAGTGGTGTGACAGCTCTTGTAAAAAGAGATTAGGTTTGTTCTGACCTAAAGATTGTTAACACCCCAAAATGCGACAATATTCACAAGAAAAGAAAGAGGACGTGCCACACACAGCAATGCAAGCTAATCACATTTTAGTGATTTTTGTTTTTAAAGAGCAAATGTTTATCTTGTATCTATCAGTCTGTGTAAACTAGAGTCAAATCACCCCAAAGTTAGGACAAATGTTTCTCTGCTGTTAAACTACAAAATATGGGCTGAGTAGGAAGAAGTCCTACAGCCTCAGGCGAGCTGAATGCATCCAACAATTGTCAATTACATTACAAAAGTACTTACACCCTTGATGTTTTCCACGTTATCACACTGCAACCATGAATGTCATTGTATTTTTTTCAGGATTTAATTTAATAAAGTAACAATGAGTAAGTAATTTGTAATGTTTGTCACAAAAACAATGTGAAAAATGTGGCATTCATATTTATCCATCACCAATTGGTCTAATGTCACTAAATGCCATTTAGTGCAAATCCCATCAGAAGTCACTCAGTTAGCAAATATAACCTATGTATTCATGTGCTTAAATGACCAAGTCAAAATCTAAAACTACACCCGATTGAAAATCTGTTGAAAGACTCGAATATTGATGTTCTAGACATTCTGCATACAGTTTAAGTGAGTCCAAGCAATTTCCAAATAACTGGCAGAAATTACAATCTTAAAATGCAAATGGTGGTAGAGAAAGAAAACTGAAATTGCAGTAAAAGGTGGGCAGTAAATGTGAAAACGTTTGAGTATATGTAAAATTACTGAACAAGTCAAATATTGCACAAATTAATCACAAGCATTACAAAACCAAAACACCCACTATCCACCATGGCAACATCTTGAAAATAACCCCTATTTTTAGCTTGTTTATTCACAATTTGGCAGTAATGTTTTATAGCTTTTGAGCCTTTTGTCTGTTCTGTTTTATGACGAGCCAAACCAGTAGTTAATATCTCCAGAAACCACTTAAAGAGAGAGAAGAAAACAGAAGGGTGGTCTACGCTGCAGCAGCAGACATGTAACCCAGATGAGTATCACTCTGCTAATGCAAACCAGATGCATGAGTATTGGTATATTTTGGGCTCAGTGCACTCCAGCCTTGTTATGGATAGAGGAACTGGCTGCCTTGTGATCCAACAAAAGCACCTTATGACAGGATAAAAGTTTGACTTTTGCTGAAGGTTCACTTGTTACTTTTTCTGTAGTGCTCTGCTGGGACAAATCACTAGTTCCCTAAGATTTTACCAGACAGTAGGAACAGTGTTCTGTGCACGCAGTAGCATGGTTGTGAAAAGAAATGAAATATTCCCTGCACATGAAAGTGAATTAGTCTAAACAGTCATTTCTAGAAGGAAAAAAAAGTAGTAGTGGACGGTAGGGTTTGATGTGTTTAAACCAACAGCATCACTAAAACAAAATGTTGTCATTTCATTAGAAATATAAGCGAAGACAGTAAATGCAAATTAAAATGGAATACAAAACAAAGTACACAAGAATGTGAAAAACTAAACATGCAACATTATGATGGCCGAGATCTATTTTTTTTATTAGTCCATTTACAGAGATCTGTTACCCAGTAAAAGAATAAAAATGCAGGACTTGAGTATAAACACAGGATTTTGTGTTTTTTATGGATTTTTTCATGAAACTGAATCATTGTCATTTGACATTTCCATAATTTAACCATATTTACTGTTGTGATCTCTTACTCCTCTACATTGCTCAATTTGAACATATGTGTTATAGAAAAAAAAAGCATCCAAAATTTGCATTGCTCAAAGTAAAATGCCCTTTATAATAAATTTAATCTTTTTTCTGACCGGTAAATGCTCTGTTAACCACCACAAACTCAACAACACTACTCCAGATACTTAAAGTTTATGCTTTTAGCACCAGTGAGGTGCAACATGAAGTCAAAAGCCTGTCAGAAATGTAGCAAGATATTTAAAAGGAAATACTCCTCTGTGACATAAAGACATTTTTGCTGTTCCTAAATTTCCAATCTGAGAGACAAAGAATATTTCTGTTATATTTATATAAGCCAAAAAGCTTTTTTGATTCCTTCAACAGTACTTGATTAAAATAAGCCTTTACATTGCTATCACTTGTCCAGAAAAGCATAAAAGCATCAAAGAGCAAATGTTACTGCCTTTGCCCAGTAGTTTCTAAAGGTTAAACTTCACTTTTCTCATAAAATGTACATTATGTAAGGCTTTTTCTTTTTTATGTAAATTGCTATCCCATGCTCAAAAAGCACCTTTCATTGCATTGAAATTGAAAAATATTTTCAGGTCAAACACTTTGGGTATTTTTCACATGTGCACCAACTTTAATTAACACCATAACGTCCCCTGAAAGAGCTTGCCCCACAGAGGTGTAGCTCCTGGGGAAAGCCAGTGGTTCGGTGAAGAAACAGAGGAATGAATGGAGCAGCGTAGTTCTTATTTTTTGCTATTGGGATGATAAAATTGGCTGTAAGAGAAATGCAAGAAGAGTCTCTGAGGACGTACACAGGTTTATTTGCTGCTGTGATGTCAACGTTTGTGCTTTAAAATATGATTTAAAGGTTTCCGCCTGTGAAACAGTGTTCACAGAATCAAAATAGACTCTCCTATTATATGGTAAGAATCCATTTTCAAGGGCTCCAGAATAGACCTGCCCATGGCCGTAGACCTTCAAAATCATACTGATTATGATGAACAGAGCTGATTTTATGTTGGTTTTTTTTTGTTGGCAATGAGAGATGAAATACTGCTTAGCTTTTCATTTTAGTTTGAAATAAAACCCTTAGAGGTTCTGTGGAACGTGAAACCTGTGCGGGGGGGCTTAGTCAAGCCTAAGTGAGAATCTGTGTTTAATGCACAAGTAACTGATGTAAAAACAACTCACAAATCCATAGTACTTCACAGAAGAGGATTCACCACACAGACTCACCTGCAACAGAGGTAAAAGGTACATTGTGAACATGAGATTAACAGTACATTCAAAACAAACTGAACAATTATCGGCTCATCAGTTTCACCTCTGTCTCCCTTGAAGTTAAAAGCCATCTGCACAATGCACCATAAAACTGACTTACAATCTTTTAAGTTCTTGTTCTTTTTATTTTTACCTGTACAATGAAATAGTTTTGCATTTTCTTCCCATTCAGAATAAAGCAATTAGTTAGCATATTATTTGGAGAACACAAATTAACTATTAACCATCAGCCAAGTGAAATGTTACTATTCATTCCTAATTAGTCATTAATGAACACTCACTGGTTAGTCACTCACTTAATTCTACAAGTAATAGGCTATTAGTCTTTCTTGTTAACAGCCAACTAAAAAATTTAAAAATAAAACTTCCAAAAATTCAGATTTTCCCTAGTCACAGAAAGTTATTTTCCAGAGACAAAATATAAATAAAACATTTGTAAATATTAAAATGTATAACCACCTTTAATATATTACATATGACATGTAGCAGGGATTATTACAGGATTTTGACTGTCCATCACTGAGGCTGGCTTTTATTTCACTATAAAACGGGATAATTCAAACGTGCTGTCCTCATGGTGAGACGGCATCTAAAAAGAAGATTTGTACCAACTCCCCGTGACAAAACAGCAGGTGACATAAATCTGTGAATTTTATACTTAAACTGTCAGTTTAGCATTTGTTGTCAGCTTTTTTGTGCTCGTAAAAGCTCTTAGAATTGGTTCTCCATGTACTCTGACAAAAAAACATGTTTGGGACTTATTAGGTTTAATTTATGTCAAGGGCGCAGTACAAAATTGCTTATGGCTTTTACCACATTATAACTAAAATGGAAGGATACAGAAAAGTCTCTGCTGCTTTGAAGGGAGCATAGAGATTGTGGTAGAACTAAATGCTGGTCCCCTCTCCATATGACACAGACAGAACAAAGTTTTGAGAATAGGGGGATGTTGGTAGCACTTTCTCATCATCGCCATCAATGTTTTACTATGTAGTATCATAAACACAAGGAACTGGTTAGATGGGATATTCGGTATTCCAGATAGCATGTACTCTGGCTATTTATGTCAATGGTTTATCTAACAGTTTGTCATTACTGTCTTTAACGCCCACACCTGACACTGATCTCACAGACCAAAGTTCATAAAGAGTGGTGGATGTCGCGCAAACAGCACATGTGCACCATTGCTACAAAAACAATAAAACTGCAATTCAAAAATTGTACCAGTGACTAAAAAAAAAAAAAAAAGAAAATCACTTCATCTCCTACCATACACTGCGGTAGAGATGTGATTGAAAAACAAAAAACTTAAGACACCACCTACTATATGATCAAATTGGCAAATATTTAATTGTCTTAAGTAGTATTTTCCAGACTATAGACCGCACCTACAAAGTTTTTTTTAAACTGGAAGCATACATATATAAGCCACATCGGACTAAAAGCCGCTAAAATCTACGCTGCTCTCGGTTTGTCACAAGAACGCAGCCCTCTGCTTCTTCTTTGTGAAAAACCAAGAGCTAAATCTGCTATTAAGGCCGCAGCCCTCTGTCTCCAAAGCAGAAGGACACAGACCTCCATCTCCAACGCCAAACCCTGGATTCGTTCAGCGGCTCCATTTCCCTCCTGTACTGGTAGATTGATAGCCCTCAACTTAAAAGATCATCTTAATTTTCGTTGCTGCTAGCAATGAAAATTAGCGCGTTCTTCTTTGATTTTCAATTTTGACTTCCAATGATTCACTTCCTGCTAAAGAGCCCCCTGGTGGTTGAAGAAAAATCCACAGAAAAGCTACACCACATGGTTCAAAGCGGCTTATAAATCCGAAAAATATGGTATTAATGTCACACTGAAATTTCCATATGGTAAACTGATTGATCCTTAATGTACAATAAATAGATAAAATCAGAAAAAGGGGCTCTGGCTATGACTTGCTCTTTACTTTTCCCCATGATGTGGACATTAATTAGACTCATTTACTCAGATAACAACTTTACAGAACATCAATTTCAATATGCCAAAGTAGCCCTTTAAGTCTCTTAGAAGGCACACTACAGTATATATGCATTCACATATAGCAGAAATATATTATTGGATTGAAACGCCAGCAGAGCTTCATGATGGGTTTCCATACTGATTATACTGATCAAGATTTTGGAGGGGGATGAGAGTGTGTTTATTCTAAAAGATGAGATACACATCTGTGTCTTTGTGTAGATGAGTTTCAAAGAACTAGCGCAAGTGGGTGGATGGGAATCTGGCATTTTATGAAATGAATTGTGGTTTAGTGTCAGCTGCCAGTAGCTCCAAATTATATAAAAAAAGGTTGTTTTCTTTTTTCCTTTAAAAGAAAAAGTTCATTGTTTTCTGACAGCATTCACCCTCTCAACCAGTGTTGATCGCTGATTATGCACTGTGTAAATGAAATAAGAAAAAATGTTAATTAAATTTTTAAGAAGACTATTTTAACTTACATAAAATAACAGCTGTGACTGAAATGAGGACAGACTGGACAGAGAATTAAAGTGGGTGGGTAATAAGCAGTGGTCTCAAGTCAAAAAAGCAAAGTGGAGCTTGATCTCCTCCAATCTGATGATTGCAAAGTTAATGAACCACAAAGAAAAACCTACAAAACCTTGCTTAGACTTTTGTTCCAAACAGGAGCATTCACATTAACTTGGGTCATTGACATATAACCTAACATTAGCCACTCAAACTCACCTCAGTGAACAAAGCGATCTTTGGTCACTGGAAAATACTTACTCTTCCCCCCGGTAAACACATTAATCCCTCTCTGGACTGTCTTTACGTAACCATGAGCAAACACCCTGGTCACAGCTCACCCTGCTGGCAACGCTGCTGTGCAACAACTCAGCTCCATCTGAGTGTGTCTGAAAAAGCGCATCACGCGGCGTGCAGCTGCACCGTTATGTACAAAGACACTCTAGTGTGTTTAATGGATGTTTTCCCAATCAAGACACATCTGGAGCAAGTGCTGACAAGGTGAAAGCAAGCATGCATCTGTGCATATGTGAGCGGTACACACACTTCCCATGTGATGCGTCTCGGTAAGCAGGTCAACAAGGGAGCATGTGTGTAGAGATGTGGTCCGATCTGAAGCAGCTGAACCATCTATGGTTAAAAGTAAAACTGGTGCCTTTTAAGTTTGTGATCCTTATTCTGCATGTACCTCACTCAGAAGGATGAATTTTACTCATGTTTGCCCAAATTAAAATCATTAATCCTCTCAAGACATTAATTTATAACAGTGTTAAATGGTAGCATGTTGCACTATTAATGTTGTCATGAAAACTTTATGAAACTGTCCAGACAGGGCAAAAAAAAAGAGACCAAAATATCCAGAGTGTTTTTGTGAGAGGTTAACCTCAAAGTAGCCTTGTGACTGCTGCTAGTCCCCAAGGTGATTACAGAATAAAGCTACAGACTGAGGGGAAAAAAGTGCTTGTATAAGTGATAAATGAGGGGAGAAAAAAAATTACTGAAATAGCATAGCTTTTTCTAAATTCTTATCATGCCGACTTATGTATCACTGCAACCACTCCTGTCAAATAATTTGCACCTGTTTTTTTAAAATAATGTTATTGTCATGAATCATGTGGATATTCTTAACTTATCCATTGGACATTCATGGAGGTTTTGTTAGTGTTGAATTATGTTGATAGTCGCAAAGGGAGAAGGCAGAAGAACTTGATTTGTTTTAACAGATTCTCTGTTTCATACTTTGTCATGACAGAGCGACAGTTTTGACAAATACTATCCAATGTTGCTAAATTGGCATTCAATGTAGTCTATGTAATTAGTTAACTGATTTTACTTCCAGACAGTAAGAGCTACATAACCCAAAAAGTAAAATAATCAGTAATGGTTTTGTTAACATTGTATACCAATATCTAGCAGTTTTCACACAACATGGAGCACTTACCTTTTCTCTGTTTTTAATCAGACTCAAAGTAACTGAAGCCATCATTAAATTTAAACCAAAGATGAGTCAGTGAGAAAAATGTTTTGTGTTTGACTAAGACAAGAAACAGAGAAACACGACTGAAAACTAACAAATATGTGAGAATTGTGTGGAACATAGTTTTTTCTGCAAAGACTCTCTGATCTATTTGTGTACAAAGCAGCGTCCACACTGTTTTCATCTTCTTGTTCCATCATGATTCCCCAAAACTGATGTACAACGAGGCAAAAAGCAGTATATTCACAGCTGCAAATGGATTTACAGTTTATGTAAGTGTATTTAGGTGCATGTTCAATTTGAAGCAGAATTTCTAAAGTATTTAAATCACTCATTATAGTTATTTTACGTTTACTTATTTTGGCCCCCAAAACCATCCCACACTGATAAATAGTGGGAATGTTGAGGTCATGGTCAGCAGTCAGAGCCTCAAACATTTCCTGAGTCGGTCAGTTGAAGGCTAACAACACCGGGCATTCTCCCACAAACATCAAAACAGAACCCAATTAGGTCGTTGGCTTCTACATCCAAGACTGAAAGTCTATAACTGGTATCTCTTCCAAGTAGTTTTACTGGAACTGGACAGAAAAAAAAAAAACTAACTAGCATCTGCAAAAATAAAGGTGGATCTAATGCATTGGAAGGGAATTAAAAAGCAGTTATGGATTCAAAGAAACGGTTCAAAGACATCTGAAATTGCCCACAAATGGTATGACAGATGATATTAAGCTTAATCAGTTAGACAAAAAAAACAAAACAAAAGAAATTGGCAAAAAAATAAATAAAATAAAACAATGGTTGCAAGATTTTGCCATGTTAAAAGTAAAATTGAAAATAAAAAGACCTGACTTGACTTAATCATTTATTTAAAAAAAATACAAAAACAAAAACAAGATATATAAAATATGTTTATTTAATAACTAATGTTTATTTCTATCTTGTCACTCGTATGTCACTCGTATGTGTCTTTTGGGAT